TGAACATAATTACTACAGTTCTTATCTCGACCTTTCTCTCTTCATTGAGGCAAAAACTTATATAAACTCGTTAATACAGTACAGCAACAATTTACTGGTGTGACCGGTAATATCACCTGGTATACAATACATAAATGATAAAGTGCGTCAACAAGTCCAACGTCCCGTCAGCAACCGGTAGGCAGGTTACGGGATAAAAGTCGAGAAGAACTGTTAGGGCAGCCCGCCGACTATCACAACGAATCGACCATCAATCAAATATCACGTCAATTTAATGCAACCGGTCTAACGCTTCTTCGTTGTGTTCCCTCTGGCTTCGTTCTGCCCAAGTGTACTTATCATATTTTGGGTACCAACATTTATGGTCTTTCGCCTTGCCATCTATAATCTTCCAGCAATGGAATTAGTTGCGGCTAATGCAAACATGGAGATCGCCAGAAAGTCACTGTCACATCCCGTATTCTACCGCTGACCCTGATGTAATGGAACTTCGATTAAGTGGCACATTTAGGCAACAGAGCTCTCACCGTACTCACAGAATGAGCCTGACGGAAAGTGGCGAAACGACGATGGTGGAAGCCGCTGGCTTGATATATAAAGCACATGGTATTATTCTTACCCTACGGGCAACACGTGGAAAAGTGAAATGGCTTAAATCTGTGCATCACAGTGCCCAGTCGCCTAACCATCACCCAATGATACACACGCAAGTATTATCACTTTTCATAACTATATAGTCTAAGTGCTCACAGCAATTCTTCGCTATCGTAGTCTTTATCAGTTGTCGTCTCCTCGTGTAAACGTACATGGTGCGATGTATTATTCTGCTGTCCATCGGTCACATATAGTATTTTTCAAGTTTCATATTCAAACCTTGTTACAGATCAGAGAGGGATACAGAAAACCTCTGCTTGCTGAAGTTGAGGATGCTGCGACCTCGCCATATTCTGATGATTTTCTGAGGCAGGTTCTCGTAATTCTTGGAGATTGAGAATTATCCATTTTACAGCCATCATGGGAACGAGGAGTCACATCTTCAAGAAAGACGGAAATACGGGCTGAAATGTCGATGTTATTCTATCGCTGAAAGGTCACTTATTCACGCTGCTTCAAGATTTGGCCTCAAGATTGGGTTTCAAGATTCTAGAAGCGAGCTAACCAATTACAACTGAACGCCATTTACGGTAATTCCAGTTTGAGCCGACTATCTTGCTGATACAGAATTCCCGTTGACCAACTAGCGAAAGAATCATGCCTTATTTAAGAGGCT